TCCTTTGGACCCGATGAATCAGCTTTCAGAAACATGCTGGCTAAAAGCTAAAAGGGTTGTGTCCAGTAGAAGACAGAGGAAAACTGCAGCAACATGAATATATACACCGTTACCATTAACCTCACTTTTGACGCATTTAATGTACCATACCTACAATAAGTCTAATGTATGTTTGACACTAATTATTGCTTCCATTTCACTTTGTTTTAAAATGTTTACACTTTAAACTGTTGCCATGTCAATTTGTACTTTGTCCAAGTTTGTCTCTTGTGGATGAATAAACAATTTGGTACAACTTTGGCAGCTAATGTAATTTACTTTATCCATTACGATGTAAAATCTTGAGCCAAGTAATACTATCGAATTGTTCAAATATGCGTTGTGCCATGAATTTGTAAACAAACGTTACATGAGTTTAGCGCACTTAATGATCCTGGTGTTATTATTTTGATCTCATCTTTGTAAGCCATAAGGATTGACATATAAGACGTCTTTTCTGCATGTGTCATTTTTCCAGCGTCATGCAGAAAAGACGTCTTATATGTCAATCCTTATGGCTCTTCTCACAATCGCCTTGGAAGACTTTAAAAGAACAGATCACAGAATCAAACAGTTCAAACACAGGAAATGCAATAATAACAAACACAAATGAGCCATTGGTTCATAGTGTGACCAATGCTAATAAATGTACACAAATGTCCCTAAATGTCCCAGATCATCCCCGTCCTCCGACCCTCCTACATCTGCAAGGAACGACAAAACAATAAGTTATATCTATAGATCTATCTATCTATAGCCTGTCCAGGACTCCGGCTGAAGAGACCAGAGATCCAGGACTGGGGCTGTGAGGTGCAGGACTAAAGAGGCTCAAAAGGAGGAGGCAGGGTGTATTCACTTTTCTACACAACATTATCAGCATAAGAAAACAAAAAAATGTCCAAATTGTTGCTCTAAATGTGTGTACTTGAAGTCAAATGAACTGTCTCAAGAACAGCTCTTCATTAAAATGCATTATTTATTTCTAAAAACCCGCTTTGTTCAGAGCAAGAGTGTGACTCATTCTCTATCCACTAGCGGATTAATACACTGACATAATGCATAAGAAAATATAATCTACCTACCACAATACAACATTACCAGCTTTTTTCTTATGAATTCCCAGAGAGAGCTCTAACTTCAGCTCAAATTCAATCTTCAATGGGCTGAAACAGCTTGTAGTTATTTAGTAGAAGCCGGTTTAAACAATAAAATCAAGCAATACAAATTCTATGAAGCAAGATTGGTATGACAAACCCACATTTTCACTGTGACTTTGGGCCAGTTTCACTTCCTGGTACAGCTAAAACCTCAGATAACATAAATGGCATTCATTTCCATAACTACAGAGAAATATATGAGAAGAGTGCAGTTGATAGTGTGTTGTTTGCATCCCAATGTCTTCTATACAAATCAGGCAGACGTACTGTCTTATATATATATATATATATATATATTTAAGTAGTAACGTAGACAGCATATAGGAAGGAAAGGGCAAGTCGTTACAGAAACAAAAGCCACAGCCAAAATGCCCTTCCTGTCTTGAACATGACAAGCAGTGTTCTCTGGCTCTGCCCTGCTCTCCTGGATCCTAACCGCACAAACAGTCCTCTATAGTTCACTCCAGGACCCAAACTTTACCCCCAAACTCAGGTGAAAGGGCCCCTCTGTGCCTGGAGTGCGGAGGTGGGGTGGGGTGTAATGATAGCAACTTGTTAGAGACCAAAGTGAAACCTATTCTAGTTCAATTTGAACAAATAAGATAAACAGCACATTTAACAACTTATATAAATATACAAGTGGCTTACGTTCACTGTATTCCAACACTGGACAAAGAAAGTTCCTTAGAGGGCTTATCTATGAAATATTCATCTCAAAACAACTCTGCAAGGGACAAAGAATAGTATAGCATTTTGACTTGAATATAATAAATACAAGAGCAACATCCTTCATGTTAACTTGAACTGCAGCTCTAAACTATAACTAGAAGTTGGCAATATATTTAAAAATAGAATTGCAAGATTTTAACATCGTTTGAGCATTTAAAACATACACAATCCGTTTAAATTCTTGAGCTTAATCTCACGTTCATCAAATCCATTTTGTCACTGTTTGATGCACTGCTTCTTTTGCTAAAGAAACCCAAACACTACAAAAGTAAATTTAGATATTGTCCTGGTAATAGTTACACCAAATTGCACCTACGTCATGCTGCAGAATTTTAAACTATAACCCAGTTTAAACTTTAGCACACATTTCTGGGGCAATGATCACTAAGCAAACATACAGGTCGCACAGGGCAATAGGAGGCTGTTTTGTCTGAAGGGACGTAGTGCTGATGCAGGGGAATGGCCGACGAGGAGGACGACCGGTGTTGGAATGTTGCAACATAAAGATTAGAATTACCTAAGTCACCAAAGTGGGGGGTGTGACAGACTAATATGGGGCGTGATATGAAAAAATTACTTTACATACTTACTCTTCTGTAAACACTAAAATGTTCATTGCATTTCATAAATAATTTGGCACAAAATTCAAGTAACATTAGATAAAATAACGCTTGATTAAGTCAATTAAAATACTTGCTTTTATGAAGCATTTATATATTTATCTGGATATTTTGTGTACTCCTTGTGTGCTCTTACTACTGCCCTGTATGCACGCTGCAACACAGAAATGCCCCTACTGTGCAACAAATAAAAGGTTCTCTCATCTCTTAACTGGACTGAAAAAAGTATCACTTGATTTGTACCATAATCATAGTGACATACACCAAAATATTGATATATGTAAAAAATAAAATAATAATAATACATCCAATTGCGCATATTAACCACATGTATGTACACACAAACTGGATAGTCTGGTGCAGCTACTATCACTTTGTTTATTTTCAATTGTACTGAATATTACAAGAAGGAGGAGAGACCGGGCAACTCTGATTTACTTTTGTTTACTCTTGCTGTAAAATTTCACATGGGTACATCCATACTATGACTATCGATTTTGGTTTAGCTTGGATCCAATTACAACCATTGAAGAGGTTCATTTGAAAGCCACATAGTAAGGGATTTCTAGTAAGATTTTCAAGATTATGAACTATTATAGCCCACATTTACTTAGAGTTTAGTGATCCAATTCAGTTAGATGCAATACTCTTTTACTGGAAAAATGTTTGTAGGCTACTTAATTGAGTAACAAAAGTCTTCCACCATCACTAAGGACAGCAGACGACTCCTGGACAGCGGGGTCCAGGGCTTTGACAGAGCACGTTTTAAGGGAGTGTCGAGCTGAAGGAATGTGTCTCTGCTCCAGGGCAGATTCAAGTGCATTCGGGCTGCAAAAGCAATTAAGGTTTACCATACAAACAAGTTATTTTGTACGGTAAGGAAAACAAAGAGTGTTTCCAAAATAATCTAGAATAACCACTCAGGACTAAAGCGGAATAGACATTGTGAAAAAGGTCACACCGCGATTGTAGGTTTAGATTTTTTTTATCCTACAATATTACAATAAGAACTGATTCAATTGAAAATAAGATAATAGAACAAATTCATGTTGCCCATCCCTACTCGGGACACTAAAATGATGCTTTGGTTGGCTTGATTACATAGATCAATTGAAAGAATAGCTTATGTAGCAGTAAGTGTAGTAGTGTATAGGCCACACTCTAATAATAGCTTTTGTAATGCTGTATATAGTAGTGATTAGAAACAACGCATAATGATGTGTTTGTATTAATAAGAAAGATTTGTTGATTTGAGTTTTACATTGCCGTATATGAGCAGAGCCTTGGCAGAGGTCTATGTTAATATTGCATTAGTTTGCACATGGAAACATATGAATTTTTCACAACACTTGCCTATAGCTTTAGCTTGAATGGGCCTCGTCTCTGTCTCAATCCCCTTCCCCATATGAGAGAGCATTAGTCATGATGATATCAATGTAACAGTGCAATATCAGCATCCAAGAGAGTGCTGATGCTACTTAAGATAATGCGCTTTCTCCACCTTTCTCATCTGACAGATAAAGTCCAGACAGGGATTGATTTCCAGTGCATTCAGGCCTCCATTAGACAAATATTCAGGTTGCCTTTTAGATGGACTATAGGAATGATATGGCCTCAAAACAACCTCTTCAAGGGTTGAGCATTTTCTTTATGAAGTTCAGCCAGGGACGCATTGTGCACATCATTATATGGTCCCTTGCTATTGTGCTATTAGTTACAACTTCAAACCCGTATCTACAGCTCCAATTGATTAGATTACCACCTGGACCAGAGATTAAGAAGCCTCTTTGATTGCACACTAATCGAGAAGGCTGCTTTAATCATCCTTGACTTGGATTAGCGAGAGAGAATTGGATGCGGACATGAGCCAGTCCACACCACACCAGTCTTTTTACGCACGCTCGCCATCGCTACATTGCACTTGTTGTGGCCCAAAATCGGAATTAACCGATCAGAGTAACAAGTAATCTACTCAAATGGCATAGTAGAGCGTGAAGATTAGGAACAAGAACAGTCGTGGGACCTTGGAATCAATCAGTTTCCCTTTTACACGTATCAAGGCCCACACCAGGCAAGGCACGTCTGTCTGTCGGAGGAAGCGCGCACTGGTTTAGTCTTTTATCACACCCTAAAGCAAGACTGCGGATTGGTTTTTGCATGTGTTACATTTAGACACCCTGTAAACCACTTCAAATCCCATACAATGCAGTTTATTGCGCGTTTTTGCGAGCCTCTTCTCCGCAGACGTGGGGCTAGCAGTTAGCCTTCCTTGCTAGCGTCACATACCTGTCCTGTCGGGTGTTTCAATTCATTCACAAAAAAACCCACTTGGGTGTGATTTTTTTTTTTTTTTACAAGCGTGGGATTGGAGATGGCTAGACTTGTGAACAAATCCAGGCATATGGGGTGATGTGAAAAGCGAGAAAGCGTTGAAATTACTCAATCGTGCGCTTACCTTGTCCAGACAATTTAGTTTTTCCACGGGGTAAACCACTTTATTACATCTGCTACACATCGGATTCATGTTGAGGAGCGCTGTTGTAGCCTGTTAGCACACACGGGGGGGAAAAGCCGACGGTTCTTCTTGCGTAAAGAGCCCACTTCCAGCGCACGGGTCTTCGTTTTAAAACACCACCTTCAATGCACGCCTATGATCGGTGGCGGACCAACACTAATCTACTTGTATGAAGCAAATCCAAGGGGCTGTTGTTGTGGTGGTGTGGCACAGCTGGCTGTCAGTCCTCGCGAACCAGACACGGAAAGCGCGCTCTTGATCGCAGCTTTCTCGGCTGTCTCCGAACGCGCGTGCACGAGAGCAGAGGAGGAAGAGGAGAGAGAGAGAGAGGGGAAGGGACGTGACAAGGGAGGGAGGAGGTCTGTCTATGGGTGTGCATTTTCCTCTTTCATGAGATTTTTTTTATTTTTTGTTTTTATAAATTCCAACATTTTCAAGCAGTGGTACTGACGACAGGTGGCAGTGTTATAACCAAAACATATGGCCAGGGGTTATCTAGTTGAAAACTCGTTATTATGTATGGTTGTGTTATGATTTTTGCATTATAAGTAGTCAATCACATTCAAATGTATCTTCTCAAATGCCACGTTCAGTCTCTCCGACCTACTTCTATATCTATCCGCTTGATAACAGCGCCCCCTGCTGACTAAATTAACAAGCTGCACTATTCTTCTATACTATTCTATAAGATAAGATAAGAGAACCTTTACTCGTCCCACAGTGAGGAAATGCATTTTTGCAGCTGCTAAATTGTACTGCCAGATACAGTTTAGCAGCTAAGATACTATACTATACTTTGACCAGACCACGTGCAAAAATGATAATAATGAATCAATAATCAATAATCAATCTTTTCTCTAAGATTTTATTTAGAAAAATTGAGACAAACATTGTATGCAAAAAGTGATTCATAGTGCTTCGACAAAATGACGAAATTACATAAAATAGGACATTATATAAGCACAACTAAAGTTGATTGCAATTTAAGAAAGTATATACAACATGTACTTCAAAGATGAACTGTCTGTCGTGGAGGAGCGGCTATGACACTAGCCCGTTTCAATGTGTGTGTTAATTCTTCATTCAGAATGCTATCAATTATTCATTACCTATACCAAATAAGTAATCTCCATTGGGAAAATAAAAAGTTAGCTTGGATTGCATTCATTTTGTGCTTTCTGAATAAGTTTGATGCCATACTGCAATACCTGGAGGCAGACCTCACTGGCAAAGCCTAATGCTCCTTTATTTAAAGCACCAATTCATGACTATAAACAATATCACATGATGCCTGCAGACATACCTTGATCTTTAACTTTATAGTAATAATTTTGATTATCATCAGAACATTATTTTACTCTGAAATTGCATAGTATTCTTTGGTTACACCTACTTTTTTCTATATAATATTGCGGTTTTGAATCAGTATTTGTTATGGTATCTTTCTGGGTTTTCAAAAGAAATCTTTTTTAATGCACACTTAAGAAGCCCCATTTATCAGGTGAATCTGATTTCTTACTCCAAAGTCCGAGAACAAAACAAAACAAACATGGTAGAGTAACCTTTAATTACTCTCATCATTAGCCATGTGTACTTCATTTTTATTGGTTTCATCGAGGTCCAGTTTCTACTATACAGTCCTCCATCTCTGAATATCCAGGTTTTTGGTTCTGAAACTTCAAGGCTGGCCAGTAACTGCCCCTCCGCTAAAACAAAAAAGGTTACACATTGTTTTTTCCCTAAATTTATCAAATGTTAATGTGCTATGAGCTTACTTGGATGTGGTGAAGTGGTGAGGCGACTGCTGGATAGCAATTTATAAAAACAGCTACGACTACCAAAGACAAAATCAACACCAACGCCACAATGATGCCGGCGATCATGGCCAAGTTGGGCTGATTTTTCTTTTTTGATGAAGAGTCTGTTTTAATATCTGAAAACATATATATAGAAATGTATGTAGATACAGCATCTGATTTCCACCTCCTGTATCAAACTATATATATAATGTATAAATCATATTAAAACACACATAACAACTGACCATTTCCAGTGATCATTGTCTTTTTTGTCCCATCTGAAAATCCTGAATGGACAAATCAAAGAACTTATCATAGTGTCATCATAGAGTTTATTTTTCAGTCAATAATGGATTATATTTTACCGTTTCTCTTGCAGCCAGTTTGCAGAGTTGTCACCCGGTTCTTTCCTTCGCTCTCAGCTGTAACTGAAGGATCAATAGATGTTTCGTTGCTGAAATAATCTTCACAGGTTACATCATCACTCTGTAATAAAAATAAAAACAACAACAACAATCAATACATTTGGAAGTTTCCACCTTTGAACAGGTTTTACTTGTACCTCTTCAAAACAAGCAAAGTCCAACCATTCCTGCCTGTGTCTGTCCATGCCATCAGAGCACCTAACACAGGAAATGACAACGTTAAAACACATGTATTACATTCAACCAATATGAAATATGTTTTAATCACCTCTGGAGAACATGGCACCAGCTACAACCCAAAGCCTCATTTGCAGAGTGGCAGAGATCACAGCTGTTGTGCTGCAAACAGGCTGAAAAGTAAAAAAAAAGAAATATGTTTATTTATTTTACACATTTACTAGTATGTCAGATGTACCAAATCTCTAAAATGTTGTGTTAATAAATGATCTACTTACTTGGCAGTTCAGTAAATTCAATTGCAGAGTTGTTTTTAATTTTGGATGGGTCAATTGTAACTCTATGATACTCATAAATGGTCTGTTTTCCATCTGTAACACACAAGAAAAACTTGACAATTTGATCAACTGTGTTACCCTAGAAATGCTCGACTTTTTGAACACAACACCAGTCTCTATTCCTCTAATTAGGATACATTTGAAACTTGTGGTTACAGTTTCAATGTCCTATTCTATTTGTCTATCTATCTGCTTTGAAATGCATGAACTAGGAAATAAAACATTACTAGAACAAGATAAAACCAAACACCAAATATTTAACTTATTAGGCCTTTCTGACTATTCAAAATTCACAGGAGATATATGACTCAAAATCCTCTCTCGGCTGGCAGAATTGGAAGTTACAGCCGGACAGCTTTTAAAATGTTTACCCTTCATATTTTCTACTTCACATTCTACATTAAATGCCAATCTAATTACTGTCATTATAATTTGTGATGGCCAAAAATCTGTAGAAAACCTGTACTTCTAATGTCTGTTGCGATATGACACTGACCTGGGGCTGGAGCCGTGGATGAGGTGATCATGAATGCATCGGACAGGCCAGCCTTGACTGGATGGTCTGCAGAGCCTATCTTATCTAATGAAAGGGGAATCTAGAATACAGTATATAGTATAAATCTGATGTTGCATTCTGATCTATAAAGGAAAGGGGGGGGGGGGGGGGGGGGGGGGTAATAAATCTTACTTCTTTGTAGCTGAATGATATTGTTCCTGATTTGTGGAGGGCGGCTTGGAAAGTGAATGCACCATCTTTCTCTCTGCCCTGAAGTCTTACTTTTCCCCACTGGACCACAAACACCTCACCTGGAAGAGACCAACACAACTCCAATACACTTGAATATTTGCTTTTTTCCCCCTTCTCTTCTTTTACCATTGTCTAGATATTGAACTGTGGAGTCTTTGGAGAAGCTTGGATCAAAATTGGCCATCAGAGGAGCGATGTACTGAGTGGTGGTCAGCATGCGGTGTGTAATATCTCCCAAGAAGATAAAACCTGAAAGTACATCTGATTTCAGTCCACAAGCACACCACAATAAAACCATAACAAATACTACAATTGTAATTACAAGTACTGCCAATAAATGCCTTGGTAATGAGATTGAAAATAGCTTACCCACATTTAAACAATGTAGTGAAACAAAAAAACTATATCTATTTCTTTTTTCAAAATTCTACTTTTTGTAGGGAGGCATGGATGAGGGGGTAATGGTTCTACTAAGGATTTACAACATAATCTGCCTGGTTCGTATTTCGTTGGAAATGTTTTGATGCCTGCCCGTTTATATGATTCTGTAAAAATCTTGTCATACACATATGTATCTTAGTCTACTATGCTGTGTTGAATCCTCAGGCATATGACCTACAGTTAAATTTAAGCATAAATCTGTGGAAAACATCAGAAGGGTCAAACCAACATCTGTCCAAAATCATCAAGGAACCTGCCTCCTGTTGCTATGGTGATCTGCCTCAGGAAATGGCCATAAAAGGGAAAGTCAAACGACAGGACCACTCTCTGGAAAAAATAACAAACAACATCTTATGTAAGAAAATTATCATAACTATCAAAAACACAGACATTAAAAATGTTGGAATAACTTCAAATGTTTTATTTTCAATTGATTCCCATGTTGCATTGCCATTTTCAGAGCATATATTTTCTGGAATGGTGCGTATTGTCCGTACTTTAAACATGTTGTGTCAGCACGTCACAACAGCTCATTACACAGCAGAGGTCAAGACAGGCTCTGAGACCATAGAAACCTCACAAACATGAGCTCGAGAGGCAAAACTTTGGCAAAACGGTCTGAAAGTCTGATTCATAATCCCTGTGTACTAGCGTTGCCACCAACCAGTTATGTTTTTGCAGGCATTACTTTGTTCAATGAATCACAAAGGATAATTTTGTTCAACGGAAGAAAGTTGAAAAACATACTAAATGTTGTATATGAGCATGTATTGGAACGTCAAACTAATGACTAATGAATTCACATGACAGCATCAGTTTAAGACTTTTATAACATAATGAATAACTATGACTGAAGTATGACACTCCGAGCTTTGTGGGAGTCAAGTTTTTCAGGTACTTGGATAGCTTGACAAAATGCAAAAGAAACTGTAGGGTATTTGATTTGGGCAAAAAGACCTCACCGCTGCTTGTTTGTGTGCATTTGAGAGAATGCCATGCACTCTGACTTGACCATGTCTGAGGTCACCCATGTCCACCCAGAGCTCCCTCGTGCGTTGGTCATTTGGGCCAAAACTCTTCAGTGTGTAATATTTCCGGGAATCTTCCTACCAGACAGCAAAAAGCCCAAAGGTTATAATTGTACAATGCAAGACAGGTATTAACATCCACCAAATTACACCTTGTCATATGTTTATACAAGTGAATTTACCATCAGAGGGCACTATAAAACTGAAAATATAGAGTCAATGCCTTAAATAATAACAGTCATAGAAAATAAAGGTGTGTAAAGCACTCACCACGATACGTGTCATGTTGTTTGGCAATGTCTCAATGTTTACATTAGGGCCCAAAACTGCTCTGTTTATCCTGAGATGTCCAGTGGGTGAACTCTGGGTAGAGTCAGCTGCTATACCATCGCCTCTACTTGACTTTCCATGTTGAATTGAAATCACTTTGTAGAAATTGCCTGTACCAAACAAAAAGATAACTTTGAAAACCTCAAGACATTTTCAAGATTTAACAAAAACAATGTTATTTTGCCAGCAAACAAGTGGATAAACATTACGTTGTGGTGGTACAAGGAATTGTAGGTTTGTTTGTGTCGTTTCTTCCACACACAAGAAAGAAAGGCGCTCAAGAAAGTATAATTTTCTATCTTCAAACAAAATTGTCCATGTTTGATAAGCACTCTGAGGTAGGTAGGTTTTGGTGTTATGATTGAATTGTGGGTAAATTTACTATTTGTCTCAAATTTCACCCACAGAGTTCAAACATTGAGATTGTTGTTGGCACCAGGCTTTATAGAAATTTTATTCTCAGAAGTAATTCAGAAGTAGTGGTCCACTGTCTGCCCTGATGAAGACCTAATTGGTCGAAAAGCGTTGGTGTCCCTGGATGTTACAGGATTTTTACTTAAAAGTACTCAAAATACAGCTTTTTGCATATGGAACCTGACTACAACCCACAGCTGCGTTCACTCGCCTTCTTACTTACAGCACTATTCAAAATCAATAGACCTATACATGTATCATTCCAATTCATTCCCTTATTTATTTATTATTTATTATTCCAGCCCAAGTCCAATGTACTTAAAAAAACTGTGATGGAAAGCCTAATTCCTGTCTTTATTATCAACATTCGTAAGAATGGATCGATCGATCATCTATCGAATATGTAAACACATACCCCCACCACAAATCGAAATAGCCAAAAAAACTGCCTATTGTTCCTCTTGCAAGTAATCACACAATTATTACAAACAATAATTACATTTATATAATTCAATACTTATAGTATTTCTATCACAATTATCACTTTTTGTACTGTTACACTCGTTTATGTATAAATGTTTATTTTTATAATATTATTTCCTCGTTTAGTACTTTGCGACACTTGCTATTGCTTTACCTCACGTTGCGTAGCGCTGACGTCATTTAGGTTATATATACCCATGTCGCCTGCTCATTTGCGCGGGGTGTTTCCTCTAACCCTACATACGGCCTTTCTCCTGTACTAAATGTTTGCTGTTTTCCTCCTGGACTTTCAGCGAGCTACGGGAGGATTTTCCCAGACGGTGCGGACGTAAAACAAAAAAGTCCGGGCCTATCACCCCGTAACGTTCAGTTCCCAGTCAGAAACACCGCAACGACGCCGTGGTCAGTTCGTCTGCCGCGAAGAGTTGGTCTCTGCTGCTGCGGTGTTCTCTGTCGGGACATGTTTTGATTACTGAACAGAACAAAGTGAGAGTGGCTAATCCTCTTGGACCCTCCTCATGGTCCTGTGGGAAAGCCAGGCTCCAACATTCATCACATCTTTCATAGTTTTATTTACTCATGAACGTGGTTAATTAGCTAGCTAGGTAGGCAAGAAAGTGCACACCTGATGCTAATGAGCGCCTTTTTAGATGGTGAAAAATCAGACTACTTTATGTTGTCTTTATCGTCTTTTAGAAAACAACCTTTTGTATACTTTCAAGTGCCCAGCGAATAAAATCAGTCACTTCTTAGTTTGGTTTTGCTGATCCTGTGAAAAATACTACTCACCTGTGAGCTCTTTAAGATGTTGAATCACAGTAGTTCTATGACTTGTATTTCAAAGTTCCATTGTGGTTTATCAGTTATGTAACCAGTTTTAATAATCCACATGTAGAGTTTAGCCAAAAAAATATTTCAAGCCTTTCCTTTTATTGTTAAAAGCTGCTAACTGCTTGATTCACTACACTCATTGATTTGGCTGTGTAAAATCTAATATCTAAAGAGGTAGGTTGCATGTTTCTTTATATGTAAGAATTGATGATACTTTTATGTCCCAGGCTGTTTTTATTGTTAATCTGTCTCAAACATATTAAGACTTTATCTTGTTTATGTCAAGGTCACCCTAACCTTCTGTCCACATTTTTAAATAATTTCTTTTACCATAGAACATGATTCATCTCTCTGGATCAAATGCTGGAGTGAGAATTTGGTAACTCGTCACAGGTGCTCCATTGTTGTCTCGTGATAATTGTCTCTACAGACTAAATGAAAATAAACCAAGTTCTTGTTTTTCTCAAAGGTCTTGTTGGACGTCAAACACGTAAATTAAATCTCTGACTTGGACAAAGTGTTCGTTTTTGTTTAGTCATCAATCAAGTCCTCCTAAGCGGGGTGTGCAATATGTTGATTTGAGTGGGAGGTGAGGTCAAGAACGTGTTGAAATCACACTGAATGATTTAACTTTCATGCGAGTAAAAGTACTGCTCTGCCATATTAGTCACAGTAAACAACTTTATCCACTCGAATGTGTCTGTTTTGCAGTGAAAGGGGAACTTCAGCCCTAACTCAGAACATTTGTTAGAAAACTATATCAAAACATCCATTTGATTGAAACAGATTGTGGGACTTGGCCATAGTTGAGTTTCTAAGCCTGTTTTTGTGCTCATTCTGGAGCTATGTTGAGATACTACCCCCCTGCAAGACTCGGCTCAGTTCACATGGGGCAACATTTTGGTGAGGCCTGTTTGAAACATTTAAACTAGTTAATTTGTCCAACAGGATATAAAATAAACTACATTCTCAAAGATGTAGTAAATAGTGAATGTTAGTCCATCAGGATCATCTGCCCTTTATGGCTGTGTTTTTTATTTTATTGCATTTTGTGAGTTTGACGTATGATTCTCTGATCTGTGTTTGTGAATTCAACGGTTTTGCTTAGTCCCCGAGATAACTACTGTTGTGGTTTAGGGCTATACAACAATACATTAAATTGAAGTGAAAGATGAATAACCATGACAAAATAATGATCCGCTAACTTACGTATAATTAAATTGAAATGAATCATGTATTAAATTAATGCTGTTTTTGTTCCCCACCCTGAGACTTCAGACACGCGTTAGGGATTTTGTGTCAATACAAAATATGAAAACTTTGTTTTTGATCACACAGCAACCCACCCTTCTGTGGAATCTACATCTATGAGGTAAGATTGTTGAATTCAGAGCAGACATAATGACAGAATGTTTTGGTTTCCCAGGTTTCTTACTGTCATTCACGCTGAGTTACTGTATCTGTGTGGCACAAGGCCATAAGAGGGAGGAGTCATGTTCCTTGGAACTCACTGATCAGCAAAGGAATTTTTTTTTAATATGCACTGGGGTGATTTGTTGCAGAGTAGCAGCTTCAAATCCGAGGCCATGGTGCTCAGTCGGAGAAAGGTGTCTTACCCTCAAGTGGAGGATTTGAAGTATCTCTGGGTATTTTTCACGAGTGAGGGAAGGATGAAGCGTGAGATTGACAGGCATGGGTGCATTGATGCTGTTGCTGTATTTGACTGTTGTGGTGAAGTTGAAAGGAAAAGCTCTCGATTTTACAGCCAATCTACATTCCCTCCCTCACCTATGGTTATGAGGTTTTGGCAATGACCAAAGGACAAGATTGCGGATACAAGCGGTGCAAAGGAGTTTCCTCTGCAGAATGATGCCTCTGAGGACGTGTTCTGGGCATGTCCCACCAGGAGGAGACCCTGGGGCAGACTCAGGACATGAGGGACTGTCTCAGCTGGCTTGGTAAAATGGATGGGTGGATGCTTTTAATAGATTGTTAGAAACATGGGCAGGTGATATTCTATTGTGACCCTTAAAAGATAAGATCAAATATAAAGAGTCCTGAAAATAAAACATTTTCTGTCCGTAACACCATAGTGCAAGGAGTGATTTAATAATATGAAGTTTTTTTTGGATGTCATGAAAAGCATGAACTAATTTCTATGATTCTACTTCTTAAATATATGTTGTTTTTGGCATATGCTGACTCTCAATGCTGTTTACAGAGAAGACCAGAGATCACAGGGGAGGATGGAGTAAGAACCTATTATCTAATTGTGTTAATCAAACAAACTTACAATTGGTGGTATCTCTTGTCTTTTAATAGGAACATGTTGGATTCGTTCACATTGTTATATATAGTAAGTAAGTAAGTTTTTATTTATATACCGCCTTTTCACTGCAGATCTGAGTCTCAAAGCGGTTTACAATTGTTAATTTTGGGCATTTGTCTCTCACTCCACACAGAGATGGGAGCGGGGTCGCCAGTACAGGAGGCGCATGCCAGAACTATTGGACATATTTTTAGTGGTAGGGGAAACCGGAGTACCCGGAGGAAACCTACGCAGACACGGGGAGAACATGCAAACTCCACTCAGAAAGGCCCTGGTCCGACCGGGATTCGAACCCAGGACCTTCTTGCTGAGAGGCGAGAGTGCTATCCACTCAGCCACCGTGCCGCCCATATATGTATGAATTTCGACTACAGATGAAGGGCGCCGGCCTTTTAACGTCTTCTGACGGATCAAAGACCTGTTTAGGCGGATCACCAAGTCCTTGATTGCTAAACTTGCAATGTCTGTAAAATATTTAATGGTCAAAAAGTATTCTGTTTTCATTTGCATAAATTCAAGCCATAACTTTATCTCCCTTTGCCAATACCTCATTGTGTACAACAAAACATGTCACACACAATGATTTGGTTAATTTTGGTTTGGGCCAAATTATTGTACAAAAAAATACATTTGACTGCACTGCAATGAGCCATATGGGTGACCAATGTGACACGCACCCAGTTAAATGAAAGCAAATGTGGCACAGATGTTTTGGCCAGAAAATGACCTATGCCCACTCTTTTAGGAACTACCAAACCACGACATTTGGATGTTTTTTTCTGTGAGCGGTCAGAACACACCCTTCCTGAGCTGGGACTGGCATGAGCCCTATAACATCAGCCACAATAGACAATTACAGTATAAGAAGTAAGTTTAGGTGCAGATGATTCTAGGCTTC